TCTTAAGGGTCTCCAAATCCCCACACCTAAACTATATATATAAGAAATAGTATTATATATATAAATTACCTGAACAATGTAAGGTATGTCTTCATGTATGTACATCCGGAGTGTGATGACTTCTCCCTGTGCCATATCAATGGGAAGGAAAGGGGTGCACACCATTCGTTTGCCAAGAGCATGATGATGAAGCTTTATCGGTATCCAAAGCTGTACCTTGTCCTGAATTACAGATTCGGCATCTATGACGAGCTTGATATCCCTTTCGTTAAGGATACATTGTGTATTACCAAATTCAAGGGACCGTTCACGGTGAACTGTAAACAGTTGTAAATTGACAAGAAAACAATTCAAATTCAAATACAAATATTTATTTTAAAAATTTTTTGCTTTCTTTTGTATGACCCTAATTGATGTGATGACTTTGAGAAAAAAAATCAATTCCTTGCTAAGTGCTTCGTTGACAACAACATTCGCAAATTGACGAAATGATGATAAGAAACGGGCATTATTTTGATGGAAAAATAGATAAATAGGCGAGTGAGGAATGTATGAAAACTAATCTATAAAAGTACAGCGCATTTTTACATGAAATAAAAACATCAACACTTTCACTGCGTCAAGAAAGAGAGTCATTTGAATTTCACGTGGCAAATCCTGAAAAATATTATTTTGTGTTTACAACTCCCTTGAATCCTCCTATTGACAACTAACCTGAGGTTGATTTAGTTTGTTTCCAGATAATGTCAGCATGAACATCGTTTGAATTCAGCAATGTTGCGGCATGAGGGAGACTTAACGTTATGGGCTGGTTCTTGGAAAAGGGCCACTGTGCAGGGAATGTGATTCCAATGCCATGGCCTGTGAGAAACTCCCCCTCTCGGATAGGTGGGGGGTCGTCAGGAACTAGGGCTATAGATACATCGTGGCAAGAGCCAGCCTGCACTGCCCTTGGTGGAATCGACATAGTGACGTCACAGCTGTCCAAATGTAGAATCCCTCCTTCACAGCCAATAATGCGATGACTAACAGTAAATCTTGCAATCGGTAGATCTACTTTTTTTATACGAAAAAAGGGAGAAAGTAACCAGATAGGGCAAAACAGTGGATTTTATGAAATCTTAGTGAAAAGTAAAGCCACTGAAAATCAGATAAAATACATACCGCGGAATTCTTGAACATCATCGTCGGATAAGCTGCAAAAAATAAAGAAGGTAGTACGAGTCTATTTATAATTGGGATGTATTATTTATCATACATCCACGTTTGACACCGTAGATTATCTTGTTTTATTATTACAGTGATGTATAAACATTGTGTTGATTATTGAAATAAAATAGGCAATCGACACAAATCACATGAAATATCCATTAATTTATCAGCATGGCCATACAATAATTGTACGAACTCCGTACATAAATTCTGTGGTCATATTTTTGAGATTTTATTTCCTTGAGTTGATGTATTTATTTTTTTATACATTTTAAGCAGAATCGTTATTTGCGGAGCCTGATTAACTAATTCTTTATAATTTTCTCACCTCCGTAAAACCATTTGCCTAATGCGCTCATCTCTGGCATACTGTACCGGGGTAAAGCCTTCGTTATCCTTGATGTCGATCTTGGATCCTTGATTTATAAGGAATTGTATCAGAGCCTCCGCGGGGGATATGTCATCATCACTCTCTTGTTGTATCTTTTTCGTTAATGCATAAAAAGGTTAAGGTCTTATAATTTCGTAACTGCAGGAACTATATTATTGTGAAACACACAAATAAACTAATACAGAATGTCTAGATTAAGTGTCTTTATTACATTCCAACACGTTTTCTACATTTTGAATACCAGAGAATGAGATTATTATGATTGTATTACGTTGATACTTGCATCAATCTATTTAATACATGTCATATCTAGTTCTAGGATTAAATAATGACAATGACAATGGTGATGAAAACAGTAACGACTATGATATGACTACTACTACTAATACTAATACTACTACTACCACTACTATTAATAATAATAATAATAATAATAATAATATATCTACATGTCCATATAAATGAGCACGTGTTCGCCCCATCGTCATTCGATAGCTTCGTCCACACTTCTACGAACACGCACGACAAATATGCACACAACTTACCTTGTAAGTCAATGAAAAGATTGTACAAAAGAAACCATAAAATTAAACAAACGGAGAGGTTAAGCATGTTACTAATTTTAAGCCTTTGTAAATAGTTATGATTTAACAACGGGAAACTATCAAACAAAAACACAGTAACAAATACTGACGAATATCTGTATAATGTTCATGATCAAGTTTCTCCTTGTCCTTCCAACATCCACAACGGGCAAATATTAAGAGAATCGGTTTAATAATAATAATGATAATAACTTGGATTTACATAGCGCTTAATATAGTATATCATCTCTAAGCGCTTTACAAATGTTATTACCCCGGTCATCGGATTCATTCACGCAAAATGTGCACCATCTCCACTCCCTGGGGAGTATTCCTACCATTATGGTCACCATGAGGGCATAGGCAATTACTATCACAAATGATTTCGTCATCATACCGGGTCCCCATTTCTCTCTTGGGTATTGAGTTGCAAATGTAGATTAATGTCTTGCCAAAAGACAAAAGTGCTGTGTCGGGGATCGAACCACGACCTTTGAATTTCAAGTCAAGTGCTTAAACCACTCAACTACGACACTTCTCTAATAAAAGTATAATAAATCATACGCACACACACACACACACACGCACTATGTGTGTCAATTTGTTAAAAAAAGCCTAACAGGTCTCTGTAAAGAAAAAAATAAAAAGAAGGGACAAAATACGTAACCTTCTGCAAAGCTGTCGTCACTTCAACCTGTCTTTTCTTACAGTGGCATAGTCTGATGGCAACATGTAAGGGCGTCTGGCCATCGTGTGACTGAGTATTTACACCAGCACCTAGTGATAGCAACTCCTCAATGATTGATGATAGCCCGCTTACAGTAGCAAGGTGAATGTGTGTCAGACCAGCACTGTCGCTGTGATGTATAGAGTTTGCATCCTGTGAAAAAACAAACAACCCAGACATACACACGTTAATGGTGGAATTGAAGTATTGTCACGCAATGATGGTGTTACCTTTTATGAACTTTGATTCCGTCAATATGTATAAATATATATATATATATATGATATCAGTATTCATACAAACGATGACACTTAGTACATAATACATTGTTGTCTACCATTACTATCATTATTATTATTATGATATAAGGTAATATACATGTACTATTGGCTTGTTAAGACCATCATAAAAAAAGAGAGACACTATTCCCGAGTAATATCAGGAGGCCTATAAACAGAAAGACTAAGAGGAGAAAGGGTATTGATGTTGATGAGTTATAAATAGTACAGGTAGTGGGAGAGAATGTATAGTATGAGTGATGGTGGTATCAGATGTATAGTAATTAACATAAGCTGATTGACTTACAGCTACATGTACCTTATCAAGAAGAATCCGTGCAGTATCAGCTTTTCTAGAGCTTAGTGCAATACTTATTGGTGACTGGCCTCTTCTAGAAAGTCTCGTGCTCATAATTGCTTTCCGATCTAGTAGATTCTTCATTATTGTGTCATTCCCACTTTATTAAAACAATATAGCATAACACGCATTTATGTACATATATTTTTACGAACTTTATGTTTAAAGTATTTATGAACACTGTCAATGTTTTTTAAAACTTTATTTAGTAATATCATGTTTCTAAGATAACAAAGGAAATTCTGTTTTCGAGATTTACTTATCATAATCATTTCTGCATCATGTTTTTTCCCCCAAATCAAACTACATACCTTTTTTTTTTAAATAAAAGGCAAAATGGAAGTGGAGGGGAACTTTTGGTTGTGTCGCTTTCATTTTCAAATCTAAATGTCCTATGCAACCACTAATAAACCTACCTATAAAATGGGATCTAAAGAAATATGTTATAAAAAAAAGAAAATATATTATTTTGCTTTGATTATCAAAATGATGAATGTTTTTGTGGAATGAATCAACAATACAGTTGAATCATATGTTGTGATATAGTCATGGAGAAAATTAGTAGTATTATTAAAGTATGAAAAATGTTGTATAAACACTTCACCTTGCTGCTGCATAATGGAGGGCTGTCCATCCTTCTGCATCTTCTGTCTCAATATCTACATTGTTTTCGAGCAGCAGACGTACACAGCCCAGGTGTCCTCCCCTTGCGGCAGCCATAAGTGGCGTGACTCCTGTTAAGGTCTGTAAGATAAATAATATCGGTACACGTCTGCCTACAGTTTTAAGTAGGCCTACCATAAGATAGATGTAGTCATACTATAATTTCATCGATGAATACAGTTCACCCTACATGAGAGACAGTCAGGGAGAATATAAAATGCTCACTCACTTGTAAGATCATTGTGTTGATTTAATAATATCTTTGAATTTAACAAAATTATTTATTCGACAATTGACATTGAAGTGTTATAAGAATTAAATTAAGATATTGCTTTTTACATATATCTTCAGCACTGCTAGAAATCAATATTATTTCGGGAACATGAGTTTTGAGAAGCTCTGTGCTGAATAAGGTAATATCTCACTTGTGAGATCCTATTAGCGACTCCGAATCCCAATTTTTGTGCCAAATACGCTCGAATTAAAACACTCTCCGGTATAGGATTGGGAGTTTCCTTATTTTGTCTTTTGCTTTCGTCCAGAGGAACTGGACCTTATAAAAAGGAATAAATTGGTAGGTTACAAATGAACGTGGAGTCTATCCCTGGTTAACAGAATATATAAGCTTTTCACACAGACATATTTCTAATGGGAATGCATGTTGAAAACTATATCACATATTAACCAAGCATCTGCTTGCATGCCATACATTTTTTTTAACATATTGATATTTGCATGGCTTTTACTAAACGGTAGAGTCGCGGCGCGGGTCGACGAACTGCCGAAATTAGCCACCACTGATGGTGTCTTCAAATCTTTGTTTCAATGCGAAAGTTAAAAACGCGTCCTTCTTGGAATCATTTTCCGACACTAGGCTTTCAGATACTATAACAATGCAAGATTGAAATCTAAAAGTTGTGAAAAGTTGAACAATCGTTTATTTAAACTTCTCCCACTCGATTTTATAAAGCTATTTATTATTTTCATGGACTCCATAATTTCAGATAAATTCTGAATCTATAACAGCAATATCATATTTTCCATCAAGATTTTGTTAGTATTTTTATATTGCCTCTCTTCCCAATCTTTTAACATCGACTGCAGGCTTATTATTTAAACATTTATATAAGACCGTAGGCATTCCCGGACGCGATTTTTTTTTCTGTCAGGACTTGCGCCATCGAAGAGAGAGGGCAGTATTCATTGCTATAACCTAGTGTCCCTACTACTATAACCTGTAGCTATAAAACATGAATAATTCATAATCTCGGCCGCATGGCACACGCTGCTAATACAAAGCAGGTGAGATTCATTAACTATTCATGTGTTATAGTCATAAAATCATTCATTTATATGGGTTATAACATTATTGTTACTTGGCAATACGTTTATGGATTTGCCATTCTGCATGTGATAGGTGAAGTGTGTTATAGAATAAGAAACAATTCTTTATTATGACTAATGAGGATGTCTAGCTACAATTATTTTGTTGGATATGTAAACGTAACTTGTTTAAAATCTTTACCACACAACATAGTTGAAATGTTTCTCTTTGTGGTTATCCTTATAGCTTTCTTTACATCCTCTCAAATATAAATTTAATATATCTATTTTTTTTTTACTTTCAAGGGACTGCTAGGGGACGGTGTTTCGGAGGTAAATTTCGTTTTATCAGTTTTTTCTCAGAATTGACACCGAATCTATCCAAACAGTCATCTCTGGAACAGAACTTCACGTTTAAATCCACCTTGTACATAATCGCGCACCCGAGGTCGGGGGGGGGGGGGGCGGCGGCGGCGGTCACTCCCAACATGACTGGCTTCGCAACTGCGTCCAGAAAAGGCGTCGAAAGGGTGTCTCTTTTTAGCTATACGGCGTCGCGTCGACGTTGTCCTTAAAAAGTTTTTTTTCAAGCACCGATCGCACAAAAAAAAAAAAAAAAAAAAAAAGGATACCTTTTCAGGTTCACAGGTTTCGACGTTTTCTTTAAAAACAGTCAATTTCAGAACAGATGCGATACGCCATTAGGGTCCATTTCAGAGGTTGATGGAAACGGGTGGGTAGCACTTGTGTATGAAAGTGACCCCCCCCCCCGATTTGCGTAATGCGATATGCATTAATTCATGCACGCTATCTATATTCCATGGGCGCCGCCCCGAGCGATCGCATCGAGACTTAATTCATGAATGGGTTATGGTCAATACTGTCCTCTCGCGTCGGTGGTGCAAGTCCTGACAGAAAAACAAATCGCTTCCTGGACAACTACTCCCTAGAAAATTATCATTTGGCAATTACAGCCCAGAACAATTACACCCTAGGGCTATTAAACCCAGGGAAATAATTCCTCGGACAATTACCTCCAAGTTACGTCCTGGGGGTAGTTGTCCGCGGCTACAATAATGTCGTAATGACATCCCTATTATATCATATTGAGTCCATGAGAACAGTCACTCATGGACGTACTCAATAGTTACTTTTTTAAATTGTGTGGAAGAGGTTTAATTAAGGAATACTCAACCTTTTCACAACTTACATTATTCATTATTTCATTGGAATACTTTAAGTCCTGGTTAAATTTCGGCAAGCGCGCCGCGCTTCGTGACCCGACTGTTAGGTAAAAGCAGTTTGAATTGAGACAATACCTGTAGTCCCATTTCAATAGCCTTGTGACTCTTTCCCCATGTACCACAAGTGTTGTTTCTCAAGAAATATTTCAAAGATTCCAAATGACCATCATCTGCTGCGAAATGAAAAACTGTCCAGCCGAAATTATTACGTGCCTTGATATCTGCTCCTTTCGCAATGAGATATTTTAAAATGTCAAGGTAGCCCCCTCGAGAGGCAGCATGAAGTGGTAGATCACCATCAATTGATGGTTTGTGTACATCCCCTCCCGCATTCACTAGACATTCGACAACATCGAGATGACCTTTACGTGAGGCACCTAACAGGGGTGTATATCCATTGTTATCAACTGAATTCGGGTTTGCTGCTTGAGAAATGAGATATTTCACAATGTCAACATGACCTCTATCTGACGCCGCATGAAGAGTTGTCACGCCATTCTTTGATGCTATCTTCACATCGGCTCCTGCATTCACTAGACATTCAACAACATCAAAATTACCCTCTTGTGAGGCACTGCACAGGGGTGTAAATCCAATGTTTGTTACCGAATTCGGGTTTGCTCCTTGAGAAATTAGATATTTTACAATGTCAACATGACCTCTTTCTGATGCCGCATGAAGAGGTGTCACGCCATTCTTTGATGCTATCTTCACATCAGCTCCTGCATTTACTAGACATTCAACAACATCGAGATGACCCTCTTGTGAGGCAGTACACAGGGGTGTATAACCATCGTTATCAACCGAATTCGGGTTTGCTCCTTGAGAAATTAGATATTTCACAATGTCAACATGACCTCTTTCTGATGCCGCATGAAGAGGTGTCACGCCATTCTTTGATGCCATCTTCACATCAGCTCCTGCATTCACTAGACACTCAACAACATCGAGATGACCTTTTTGTGAGGCTCTACACAGGGGTGTATAACCATTGTTATCAACCGAATTCGGGTTTGCTCCTTCAGAAATTAGATATTTCACAATGTCGGCATGACCTGTAATTGACGCCGCATGAAGAGGTGTCACGCCATACTTTGATGCTATCATTACATCAGCTCCTGCATTCACTAGACATTCAACAACTTTGAGATGACCCTCTTGTGAGCCACTGTACATGGGTGTATAACCATCGTTATTAACCGAACTTGGATTAGCTCCTTTAGAAATTAGATATTTCACAATGTCAACATGGCCTCTAAATGACGCCGCATGAAGAGGTCGCACGCCATACTTTGATGCTATCATTACATCAGCTCCTGCATTCACTAGACATTCAACAACTTTGAGATGACCCTCTTGTGAGCCACTGTACATGGGTGTATAACCATCGTTATTAACCGAACTTGGATTAGCTCCTTTAGAAATTAGATATTTCACAATGTCAACATGGCCTCTAAATGACGCCGCATGAAGAGGTCGCACGCCATTCTTTGATGCTATCTTTACATCAACTCCTGCATTCACTAGAAATTCAACAACATCGAGATAACCTTTAAGTGAGGCACTGTACAGGGGTGTATTTCCATTGTTATCAACCGAATTCGGGTTTGCTCCTCTAGAAATTAGATATTCAACAATGTCAACATGACCTGTATCTGACGTCGCATGTAGAGTTGTCACGCCATTCTTTGCTGCTATCTTCACATCAGCTCCTGCATTCACTAGACATTCGACAACATCGAGATGACCTTTTTGTGAGGCCCTATACAGGGGTGTACATCCAAAGTTATCAACCGAATTCGGGTTTGCTCCTCTAGAAATTAGATATTTCACAATGTCAACATGACCTCTTTCTGATGCCGCATGAAGAGGTGACACGCCATTCTTTGATGCTATCTTTACATCAGCTCCTGCCTCAACTAGACATTCAACAACATCAAGATGACCTTTTTGTGAGGCACTAAACAGGGGTGTATATCCATTGTTATCAACCGAATTCGGGTTTGCTCCTTCAGAAATTAGATATTTCACAATGTCGGCATGACCTGTAATTGACGCCACATGAAGAGGTGTCACGCCATACTTTGATGCTATCATTACATCAGCTCCTGCATTCACTAGACATTCAACAACTTTGAGATGACCCTCTTGTGAGCCACTGTACATGGGTGTATAACCATCGTTATTAACCGAACTTGGATTAGCTCCTTTAGAAATTAGATATTTCACAATGTCAACATGGCCTCTAAATGACGCCGCATGAAGAGGTCGCACGCCATACTTTGATGCTATCATTACATCAGCTCCTGCATTCACTAGACATTCAACAACATCAAGATGACCTTTTTGTGAGGCTCTGCACAGGGGTGTAACACTATTGTTATTAACCGAACTTGGATTAGCTCCTTTAGAAATTAGAAATTTCACAATGTCAACATGACCTCTTTCTGATGCCGCATGAAGAGGTGTCACGCCATTCTTTGCTGCTATCTGCACATCAGCTCCTGCATTCACTAGACATTCAACAACATCAAGATGACCTTTTTGTGAGGCTCTGCACAGGGGTGTAACACTATCGTTATTAACCGAACTTGCATTAGCTCTTTTAGAAATTAGAAATTTCACAGTGTCTACATGACCTGTAAATGACGCCGCATGAAGAGGTGTCGCACCATTCTTTGATGCTATCTTCACATCAGCTCCTGCATTCACTAGACATTCAACAACTTTGAGATGACCATCTTGTGAGCCACTGTACAGGGGTGTATAACCAATGATATCAACCGAATTCGGGTTTGCTCCTACAGAAATTAGATATTTCACAATGTCAACATGACCTCTTTCTGATGCCGCATGAAGAGGTGTCACGCCATTCTTTGATGCTATCTTTACATCAGCTCCTGCATTCACTAGACATTCAACAACATCAAGATGACCTTTTTGTGAGGCTCTGCACAGGGGTGTAACACTATTGTTATTAACCGAACTTGGATTAGCTCCTTTAGAAATTAGAAATTTTACAATGTCAACATGACCTCTTTCTGATGCCGCATGAAGAGGTGACACGCCATTCTTTGATGCTATCTTTACATCAGCTCCTGTTTTCACTAGACATTCAACAACTTTGAGATGACCCTCTTGTGAGCCACTGTACATGGGTGTATAACCATCGTTATCAACCGAACTTGGATTAGCTCCTTTAGAAATTAGATATTTCACAATGTCAACATGGCCTCTAAATGACGCCGCATGAAGAGGTCGCACGCCATTCTTTGATGCTATCTTTACATCAACTCCTGCATTCACTAGAAATTCAACAACATCGAGATAACCTTTAAGTGAGGCACTGTACAGGGGTGTATTTCCATTGTTATCAACCGAACTTGGATGAGCTCCTTTAGAAATTAGAAATTTCACAATGTCAACATGACCTCTTTCTGATGCCGCATGAAGAGGTGTCACGCCATTCTTTGCTGCTATCTGCACATCAGCTCCTGCATTCACTAGACATTCAACAACATCAAGATGACCTTTTTGTGAGGCTCTGCACAGGGGTGTAACACTATCGTTATTAACCGAACTTGCATTAGCTCCTTTAGAAATTAGAAATTTCACAGTGTCTACATGACCTGTAAATGACGCCGCATGAAGAGGTGTCGCACCATTCTTTGATGCTATCTTCACATCAGCTCCTGCATTCACTAGACATTCAACAACTTTGAGATGACCCTCTTGTGAGCCACTGTACAGGGGTGTATAACCAATGATATCAACCGAATTCGGGTTTGCTCCTACAGAAATTAGATATTTCACAATGTCAACATGACCTCTTTCTGATGCCGCATGAAGAGGTGTCACGCCATTCTTTGATGCTATCTTTACATCAGCTCCTGCATTCACTAGACATTCAACAACATCGAGATAACCTTTAAGTGAGGCAATGAACATGGGTGTTTTTCCATCGTTATCAACCGAACTTGGATTAGCTCCATTAGAAATTAGAAATTTCACAGTGTCTACATGACCTTTAAATGACGCCGTTTGAAGAGGTGTCAAGCCATGCTTTGATGCTATCTTGACATCAGCTCCTGCATTCACTAGACATTCAACAACATCAAGATGACCCTCTTGTGAGGCAGTGTACAGAGGTGTATAATCATCGTTATCAACCGAATTCGAGTTTGCTCCTTGAGAAATTAGAAATTTCACAATGTCAACATGACCATTAAATGACGCCACATGAAGAGTTGTCACGCCATTCTTTGCTGTTATCTGCATATCAGCTCCTGCATTCACTAGACATTCAACAACATCAAGATGACCTTTTTGTGAGGCTCTGCACAGGGGTGTAACACTATTGTTATTAACCGAACTTGTATTAGCTCCTTTAGAAATTAGAAATTTTACAATGTCAACATGACCTCTTTCTGATGCCGCATGAAGAGGCGTCACGCCATTCTTTGATGCTATCTTTACATCAGCTCCTGCATTCACTAGACATTCAACAACTTTGAGATGACCCTCTTGTGAGCCACTGTACATGGGTGTATAACCATCGTTATTAACCGAATTCGGTTTCGCTCCTTTAGAAATTAGATATTTCACAATGGCAACATGACCTCCATCTGACGCCGCATGAAGAGGTGTCATGCCATTCTTTGCTGCTTTATTCACATCAGCTCCTGCATTAACTAGACATTCAACAACATCGAGATAAACGTTGTGTGAGGCATCTAACAGGGGTGTACATCCTTTGTTATCAACCGAATTCGGGTTTGCTCCTTCAGAAATTAGATATTTCACAATATCGGCATGACCTGTAATTGACGCCGCATGAAAAGGTGTCACGCCATTCTTTGATGCTATCTTCACATCAGCTCCTGCCTCCACTAGACAGTCAACAACATCAAGATGACCTTTTTGTGAGGCACTGAACAGGGGTGTATATCCATTGTTATCAACCGAATTCGGGTTTGCTCCTTCAGAAATTAGATATTTCACAATGTCAACATGACCTCTTTCTGATGCCGCATGGAGAGGTGTCACGCCATTCTTTGCTGCTCTCTGCACATCAGCTCCTGCCTCAACTAGACATTCAACAACATCAAGATGACCTTTTTGTGAGGCACTGAACAGGGGTGTATATCCATTGTTATCAACCGAATTCGGGTTTGCTCCTTCAGAAATTAGAAATTTCACAATGTCAACATGACCTCTGTCTGATGCCGCATGAAGAGGTGTCACGCCATTCTTTGATGCTATCTTTACATCAGCTCCTGCATTCACTAGACATTCAACAACATCGAGATGACCCTCTTGTGAGGCAGTGTACAGAGGTGTATAACCATCTCCATCACCAGTATTAACGTCCACTCCTTTATGTATAATATATTTTACAGCATTGATGTTACCCTCGAAAGATGCCTTTAGGAGAGTAGTATGGACAATATCAGTACGTCCTAGATCCGCTTCCTTAGACATGAGAAATTTTGCTAAATCATGATAATTATAACGTAATGCTATACCTAGTGGTGCATATCCATCGTGTGATACTTTGTTTACGTCTGCTCCTGCATTTACGAGACACTCAACAATATCAAGTTGACCTGTCTGTGAAGCAATATGAAGAAGTGTATAGTTATTATCACCAGCACATGTATTTAGGTCTGTACCTTTAGACATTAGGTATTTCACAACTTGTATATGCCCCCCTTGCGTTGCACCATGTAACGGTGTACCATGATATCCTGACGCTTTGTTCACATCGGCTCCTTTATTCACGAGGCATTTAACTACCTCCAGATAGCCTCCTTGAGAAGCGGCGTAGAGGGGCGTGTAGTCATCCTGTCCTGATGCATTATTAACATCTACTCCTTTATACACGAGGCATTCAACAAGGTCGAGAAGGCCTTTCTTTGATGTAAGATAAAGAGGTGTGTTACCATCAACATCACAACTATCAAGGTCATCAACTTTACTGATGAGATATTTGACAACATCGAGGTAACCATAAAGTAACGCATGACGAATTGCGTTTGTGCCGATGTCATCTCTGATCCCAATATCTGCCTCTCTTATGATAAAATAGTTAACAATGTCAAGGTGACCTTTAATCAATGCAGTATAGAGTGGTGCGTGTCCGTTATTCGATGATTTGTTGACATTTGCTCCTGCATCCACCAGGCATTCAACAACTTGGCTGTGACCATTTTGTGAAGCGTGATGTAATGGTGTGAAGCCATCTCTATCCCCCAAATCGAAGTTTACCCCTTTAGTTATGATATACCTTACCGCGTCGAGGTAGCCCTCTGATGATGCCTTAGAAAGCACAAGGAGACTGACGTCATCTCTGTTGCCAATGTCTGCTTCCCTAGTCATGAGAAACTCTACAATACCCTGACGTCCCTCTATTAATGCCGTCGACAGCGGAGTGTAACCATTATGAGATGTTTCATTGATATCAGCTCCAGCATTCACTAGATATTCAACAACATGAAGGTGCCCCTCTTTTGATGCCGCATGAAGTGGTGTATATTTGCTGTTGTCATCCATGTTGATCTCTGCACCTTCAGTTAAGAGGTATTTTACTACATCGAGATGACCACAGGAAGCAGCAGTACTAAGAGAAGTTTTACCTTCGTATCCCTTCAATGTCATATCTGCTCCTTTAGTTATGAGATATTTCACAACATCAAGACGACCATTTCTTGCGGAAGCATAAAGGGGTGTAGAACCATCATATGAACCCTTGTTTATATCTGCTCCAGAATTCACTAAACATTCAACAACACCAAAATGACCCTTCTCCGAAGCAAGATAGAGAGGTGTATAGCCATTGCTATCACCAATATTGGTATCTGCTCCTTCACCGATGAGATATTGAGCGACATTCTGGCGGCCACTCCGAGACGCATAGTGAAGAGGGGCGTCGCCGCTTCTACTAGGTTTGTCTAGATCCGCCCCCAAATCAGTCAAATATTTCACGAGGTCGATATGCCCTTCTTCTGAAGCGATTTGGAGGGGTGTCTTTCCATCAGAATCCACACTGTTTATCATGACCAGCTTGGCATCACCTGTCTCGTCTTCCAGAATAGACCTTGTCCTTACAAAATCGCCTTCCTTCAACGCTGTAGAAAGCGCCATGTTCATTCTGTCTCTCTATCGGTAGCCTGTGTGTACTCCCTCTCGCTACGTGTAAAATAAAAAAAGAAGAAAAACAATTAGGCAGACAAATTGGCATAAAAGGCGCTCCAACAAATATCAGTATTTAAATTTGAACAAACCAGTACAATACAGGATGTAGAAAGATGTATAAAACATACTACTGCACACAAGGGTGTCGATTTGTATCCGTGGTTGGGGGGATGATAGGTGCCAAAATATTTTCGGCAATGGATCAAAGCAATCAAGAGGTAAAAGCTTGTGGCAGGTTGCACCCCTCCCCAAGGGCGTAGCCAGGAGAGTAACAGAGCGCGAAGCGCGCTCCCTAGGGGGTTGGGTGCAGGGAGGGCCCTCCCCCGCGAAGCGCGGAAGCTTTGACGTTTCATTAACTTATTAGAGAAAGAAGACGATTCGTTGGACCGTTCTCGACTCTTAATCCTTGTTTGAATCAAGTTCCCCTTCCTCCGCGCGTAGCGCGGAAGCTCTGACGGTTCATTAGATTATTAAAGAAAGAAGGCGATTCGATGTACCATCCTTAATCCTTAATGTTTGAATCAAGTTCCCCTTCCTCCGCGCGTAGCGCGAAAGCTCTGACGTTTCATTTGATTATTAAAGAAAGAAGACGATTCGATGTACCATTCTCGACTGTTAATCCTTGTCTGAATTCAGTTCCCCCCTCCCGCGCGAAGCGCGGAAGCTTTGACGTTTCATTAAATGATTAGAGAAAGAAGACAATTCGTTGTATCGTTTCAATGCCTGAGTGTAATTCGCTCCCGCCCTCCCGCGCGGAAACTTTGACGTTTCAATAAATTATTACTCTTAATCCTTGTCTGTATTCATTTTCGCCCATCCAGCGCTAAGCGCGGAAGCTTTATTCTTTCATTAAATTATTAGAGAAGGAAGACGATTCGTTGTACCGTGTCCTTGTCTGAGTGCAATTCGCTCCCGCGCGAAGCGCGGAAGCTTTGACGTTTCAATAAATCAGTATTAGAGAAGGAAGACGATTCGTTGTACCGTGTCCTTGTCTGAGTGCAATTCGCTCCCGCGCAAAGCGCGGAAGCTTTGACGTTTCAATAAATTATTAGAGAAAGAAGACGATTAGTTGTATCGTGTCCTTGTCTGAATTCAGTTTTTCCCCTCCCGCGCGAAGCGCGGAAGCTTTGACGTTTCATTTGTTTATTACTCTTACTCTTCGTCTGAAATCACTTTCGCCCATCCCGCGCTACGCGCGGAAGCTTTCATGTTTCATTAAATTATTAGAAAAAGAAGATGATTCGTTGTATCGTGTTCTTTGACGTTTCATTTAATTATAACTCTTAATCGTAGTCTGAATTCAGTTGCCCCCCTCCCGCGCAAAGCGCGGAAGCTTTGCCGTTTCACTAAATTATTAGAGAAAGAAGACGATTCATTGTGCTGTTCTCTATATTAATCCTTGTCTGATTTCAGTTTCCCCACATGATGTACGTATGGAACGTTCGTTCGCAAATCTTTGCATGCACAGCCCGACTGGTGGGTAGCATGTTATCTCCCGGCAGTGCTTGTCGCAATAGCTTCTGGAAAGGAATTGTATACTACTGTTAGTGTTAACGGCCACTATTTAGGCCCATTAGTGACCATACAAAATATATGCTCTTCCTGGCTATTTGGTAATGTGTCAGTTTGCAACAGAAATGGAGAAACGCGAATTTGTTGAAAATCTTGTGATATCACGAACATTTATAAATCACTTGTATGAAATACGCCAGTGGCATAGAGTTCATTTATGTTTACATTGTCCAGGATTGTCTGATGTTGCAGATTGCTACTTTTGCGCTTCGCGCTTAACATTAGCCCCAGTCCCATATAAAGCCGGACCAGCACGGACCATCCCGGACCATGGTCTGGGGTGATCCGGGATGGTCCGGGATGTTTTGTTCAAAAAATCGCAACCGCCGACCGTCTCCCCGGACCCAACACGGTACCACTACGGACCGCCCCGGACCGTCCGGGCATAGCCCCGGCAGCAGTACAGATCATTCCAGACCCAGCACGGAGCCGCCACGGACCGTCCCGGACCACCCCGGTGCCAACACGGTGCCAACACGGATGACACCGGACCATCCCGGTGCCAACACGGATCATCCCGGAATGGTCCGTGCTGGTCCAGGGTGATCCGTGTCGCCACCGTGCTGGGTCCGGGATCATCCGTAGGGGCGCCGGGGTGATCCGGGGTCAATAACTCACTCCCAGACTGCCACGGATCAACACGGACCGCCCCGTCGCCACTACGGATGATCCCGGACCCAGCACGGTGGCTACACGGATCACCCCGGATCAAACTATTGTCCCGGACCGTCCCGGACCACCCCGGCAGTTTTTGACCGTCAAAAACATTCGGGGTCGACTCCCGGACCGCCCAGGACCATCCAGGACCATCCAGGACCACCCCGGTGCCAACACGGTGTCAACACGGACCGAATCCCGGATCACCCCGGATGGGGTCCGGGATGGTCCGGGACGGTCCGGGACGTATATGGGACTGTAGCTTTAGCTCGTTGCTTTTTAACGCTGCGTCTTTGCATCTGGCGCACTGCATTTCTATGCCGTTGATTGAACAAAGTGAATAAATTCATCAATTCCTGATGAAGCCGTATGAACGAGAATTCAATTTATTCTTGTCTCATATACGGTTGTCTCATTTACTTCGCATATATGTATGTATTATGAAAATGAGATAACAAAATGTGTATACTGACGATCATCTTGCGAGTAATAACCATTACCTACTCTCATCGGGCTCTCATCATTAATTTCTCTTCTTTTTTTCTTTGTTTTTTTAGGGTGAATTATTGGGGGGGGGGGGGATGATTGTACAGGCCATCCCCCCACCTGAAATATTGGGGGGGGGGGGATATATCCCCCCATCCCCCCGGGATCGACACCCATGACTGCACATTAAAGAGATGATTGGTATACAAAATCGAGAAGGAGCAATGAGTACAGACCTAACAAAGATTTTCGTCTTGCGCTTTCCTATTGCAAATTAACGTGTTTAACAATAAAGATTTGATTTCCGTGTCCTTCATCCTAACGTAATATCCACTGTTTAGACAAACATCTGTCAGTGAGTGATGATTAGGGGGTGGGGCCATTTCAGTTTTTAAGCCCATGGACTAATACTGCTATAATACCTGTTGGTATTGCTATATACAGTACATGTACGCTGTAGATGTATATGTATAGTGTTTCCACTCACAATGCGCATCCTGTAAAAAGACATCAATTCATTTTGGATAACATGAAATGACTCATCCATCCCATTATTTGATGATATATTTTCTGTGTGTGGCATGACAACATAACGTCCCTGTTTTCACGAAGTGACGGTAATGAGGAAAATCGCATGTAATTTCATTTTTGATTTCTTTTGGTGCATTTTTGGACATCATTTACTAATATCTTGAACTTCACAAAATTTCAGACCGTAATAATATCTAAAACAAAATCAACTTATGTCTTAACAAATATACATCTAGACTAAATAACTTAAGTGGAGAGTCTTTCTTATTTAGCTCCACACCAAATATTAATGCTATAAGGTTCTTTTTATATCTGCTTAGGTAATACATGTCCACACACACACACACATACAAGGTATCGTGTGCTATCGCACCTTGCACACGTCTGCTAATTAACAGGCGGTGATTGGTCAATTAGCAGACGTCTGCCTGTTATTTAGCAGACGTGTGCCGCGGTCCATACGTCTGGGGCATGTAAATAAAGTCATCAACGGCCTTCAATACTTTAATACACTAATGCATGCGTGCTCAAATTGGTGTAAACTGCAATTTTGGTGATACTTTAAACATGAGTCTTATTAAAAATAATAATTCCAGTCAATTTCTTAACTGTCTGGCTCTTCTTGCATTGAAATCACATCATTTGCCCCCATTTGCCACATCCGATAAAAGTTACTTGAGCTGAGTTGAGAAAGTAGGAAAGTTCTCAAATGCCGATTCCCTGTTACTATAAACAGCACGACTTATAGAGCCTACGAAGAAGTAATATCATACAGCGTCATGAACTCCAGCTGAACGCGATCAAGTTGTGCAAATAAAAGAAATGTAACAATGCCTTGGATGATCGATTGCACTCATGGTTTAAAGATACTATGTCCCTTTTGCAGCCATCCTCAAATTCTGTAGAAATTTGCAGGTCTTATGAATATGTCATGTATATGTCCTGTGTATATCCTATCTCCGAAATTTAAACGTTAGCAGTGTCCTAATATTCAAATTATGCAAGGAAACCCGTTTACTTGCTAGACTTCACTGTCAGACACTATTGTCAGTATTGAGTGACTGACTGGTTTTTTCTTCTTTGGTAATAACATACATAAAATAAGCTGTAAAGGATTTGTAGTGAGCACATTTGTTTTTGGTCCTCGAGAAATTGATAATTTGCACCCCCCCCCCCTTGAGCGCCAGGGGGGGGGGGGGGGCATCTCCCCAAAAAGCTAAAATTCTCGCACTTTTTTTCCCCTCCCCCTCCCCCTGGATCCGCCACTGAGTTCTCCTGAGCAATTAGTTTAGCTAAAAGAAATAGTGTGGTGTATGTGCTTGGGCTAATGTATGGTGGTGTTGGTGGGATTGCACTGAATACGTGCAGGATGCGATAGTATGACTTTTGCCCGTGCTCGATCTCCTTTCCTCTTTGGCTTATTGCAATCAAACTTTTGTGTACTTGTGCGTATTATCAATATAATGGCGCTTAATCCTCATTTGCATTATGTGCATGCAAGATACTATGACAAGTTCGTCGAACTTGTATATCTTTTATTTTATCTTATCTTCCATAGTATTTTCGACAATAATCACCATACCATAGGTAGGGGTTGTCGTAGGTGATATAATGGCGGCAATTTTCCTTGCTCAGTCACCGCGACATCATAGAAGAGAACTTTGTAAGAAATTAAATAAAAGCTTGACTTGTCTTAATAATAC